TAAGAATCCCGTGGCTGAATCTCCCAATCCCTTTTGGGGAAAGGGGATTGACAGAGACCCAGAGCCACTCACTTGTGGTCACTGGGGTTGTCCCCCCAGCCACCCCGGCACCCAGGCAGGACCCATGTTATACAGAGGGATCCAGGGGCACTGGTCCCTCCACACTCTGACCACAGCATCACCCCTACGTCCCTGCCTGCAGCTCACCCAGAACTGCCTGTCCTTGCCCCGGGGGGCTGCTTGGGCAGACCTGAGGTCACTGCGTGCAACAAAACCACAGTGGGTGTTTGTCGGCAGGTGAACTTCTTCCTCTTCCTCAACATTGTCCGTGTGCTGGCCTCCAAGCTCTGGGAGACGAACACAGGGAAGCTGGACCCCCGGCAGCAGTACAGGCAAGTGCCGGCAGCAGCAAAACCATGCCCCGGCCCTGGTCTGACTCATTTTCCGTCTGTTTAGCTGAAACAGCTCCCCAGAGGGTTGTGAACAAAGAGCAGAGGCGCAGGAAAGGCTGCAGGAGTGAAGAGGGGTGGCAGGACGATGGCAGCCAGCACTTCTGGCAGCTCAGTTTAATTGAAACAGCAGGCTCAGGAGTTCAAGCTCTGCCTGCTCCCTTCTCTAAGCTGGACACTGTGCAATAGCTATGCACAAACCAGCTGCGGCAGCAGCAGCAGTTAAAGCGACTGTCCTCTTCGCTAGGACGCTTACCAATATCTGCAAGGGGGGGTGCAGGCTGGCTGGCAGGTCCTGGCTAACAGCTTAGAGCATTTCTCCTCTCAGGAAGCTGCTGAAGTCCACACTGGTGCTGATGCCGCTTTTTGGAGTCCATTACGTGGTGTTCATGGCCATGCCCTACACCGAAGTCTCTGGGCTCCTGTGGCAGATCCAGATGCATTACGAGATGCTCTTTAACTCCTCTCAGGTATGTCAATATGGGGCGTCCAGGGACCGGGGGGGCACACGTACAGCATCCCCGCTCAGGACTCAAACTCCACCTCTGTCTCTTTTGGCAGGGTTTCTTTGTGGCTTTTATCTACTGCTTTTGCAATGGGGAGGTAAGTTAGAAGTGCAAGCAGCTGAGCTCCCTGTTCTAGCCCCTTTAGGATCGGGGAAGTTAACCCGCAGCCCCCAGGCTGGGTTAACCAGAAAAAAATCCTCTGATCCATCCCTCTCAGTAGGATTTGGAAAGGGAAAAAAAAAAAAAAAAGTCACTAGGAGTGAAAACCACAGGAAAGGGAAGGGATGCCTGTTTTGCTGTTTCTGGGCACCAGCAGCCATCTCCAATCTCTTCCTCAGGTGCAGGCAGAGATTAAGAAAGCTCATTTTCGGAGAAGCCTGGCGCTGGACTTCAAGCAGAAGGCGCGTGCCACCAGCGCAGCGGGGAGCTGCTGCTATGGTGGGCTGGCCTCCCATGCCACCACAAGCTTCAGCATGAGCCTCATGGGGCGAGGGGCAGGGAGCACACAGCAGCGGGGGCTGCTGCTCCCTGCCTGTGCCAGCCTGCCGGGCTACATCCCCAGCTCCTTTGCCTCGGATAACTTTTTGCCCTGTCCAACCCAGATGAGCCAGAAAGCCTGTGGGGAAAACATAGTGAACTTAACGGACCTGAATCAGTGTCACCCCAACCTAAACAAAGAGCTGGAGACGATGCTATGAAATGAACAGTGTCTCTCCCACCTGGACATCCAGCTGTGCCTGGAAAGATGCTGATCCTCACACTTTGGGCTCCTTTTATGCTTGCATGGAGAGTCAGGGTAGGGGATAGGAACTGGAACAACACAGTTCCTTTTCCCTCACAGCCAGCATGCAAAGGGACCATGTGCTCTCACTCCTTCTATCTGCCTGGCCTAAAAATGAACAGCCAGTTCAAAAGCTCATTCCCTTCCACATGCAAGTGATTGATGTAAGTGATGTCTGTGCATGCAAAGCCTTGAATCATCACCAGGAAACAATCCTCCAGGCTCAGTCTTACCTCGACAGTCTGGAAGGTGACTTCAGCTCCAGCACGTATAAAGCCAATTCAGTGAGCCCATAGTCCTGAAGTCTGACTCCCCTGTTTAGCACCAATTCCTGCATTGTACAGCCCAGGGCAGGCAGAGTGAATACTGCCCACAGAGCTATTCTGCAGCTCACCCTGCCGTTACTTGCATCCTTGTGCAGCTTGCAGGTACTGTGAAGCATGCAACGCTCAGCCACAAACAGGGAGCATGAGTCCCTGGGATACAATCAGCTCAGGGAGGAAGGCCAAGCTTCATGGCCTGGGAAGGGCACAGTGAAATGCCTAGGTCCCCCAGGCTTTACAGCGTGATTGTCCGTGAACACACAGACCGCTCCATGCAAGAGCCTTGGCCCTGTAATCTTTTTGCAGGCTAAAAAGTGAATAAAGAGTCAGTCTGTACGGCTTGCTTCTGTCCTCAAACTCCATCATAGACTCAATGGTGTTACGCACAGCTATCAGTTACTGGAGGACAGCAGAGGGTCTAAAGGGCTGGAAACCCAACCACGTTCACAGCCAGCCAGGCCTGCTCTCACTGCTCGCTGTCGGGGACAAAGCAGCCCCGACTTCCCCCTGCCCACTCTGCCACACGTGCACTGCCTGGGAAAGCTCATCACCCTGATGGGAAAAGACATTCCCATGGAGCTTGCAATGCCCAGCCCAGACAGTTCAGTCAGACCTCAGGGGAGGGGGGAATTACAATGTTGTTGGGAGAAGGGGTACATATGCCAGTTAAAATTAAACAGCTGCTTGGTGGTAGCATGGAGAATTTTCTTCCTACCTGCTCTAATGAGACACATTCCCTCAAGGCAGTAATTTCACGATGAAGACAGTGACAGAGAACATGTAACTAATTCTGTGCATTCCCAGATTTTCCAGTGAAAGGCTAAGATACAAAGCGAGCCACAAGGATTAGAAAGCACTGGAGGGACAGCCAGACAGAAGGCCGGGAGGCGTGTCAGGGAAGGGAAGGGCTCTAGGATTCATATTCTTTAAAGGGTCCAGAAGATGGTGCAGAATCAGGCACATCCGCACCACCTCCCATCCAAGAAAGCAAGCGCTGTACGAGGTGGAAGAGGGCCCTCAGCACAGCTGGGTGGTGTCAGTGTTTGCCCCACTCCAGGGGACGAGAGGCAGAGGGGGTGACGGATGTGCAGGCACAGAAGCAGGAGCAGAATCCCAGGGTTACACTTTACAAACAAACCTGAGCTTCCTGTAATTGATTTGCTCAGCTGTGAGTTGTGCTCCAGTCTCTTTAGAAGAAAGCAGCACCCCCTGCCACTGTAAGGAGAGGGATTCTCTTTCGGGGTAGTTGGCATGTTGCTCACACTGCTACCTTGTTCTGTGGAGAAGGAATCAACCCTCTTATGTATCTGACATGGACCTGTGAAGTGACATTTATAGCTCTCTGTCAGCGATCGATGTTTACTCACTCAAGTCTCAAGAGGCTCCCGGTAGCTGAGAGAGGGGTGAGGAATTTCCATAATCCTATTGAACAGCAGAGGGATGCATTAAAAAGAAGGGGAGAAACCAAAGCATAAGCCACGTACAGGGCCAGTTCCCAGCGGCAGCGAGCTGAGATCCAGGAAGGGAGGGAGCAGATGGCAGCTTCAGACTATGGACCTATTTTTTAGTTTGTTTTGAAACTCAAATCTTTAATTGTGCAGAGTGATAAACTTTAAGCGTGATAAGGAAAGGGGAACTCAACAGATGCTCCTTAAACCCCCTGACACATCCGCCCTGGAAAATCCTTGTTTTAATACTAAATATGCAGAGCTCAAACCAGCGCAATGAGGTTTCTGCCTAGACCACGAGTAGACCATTCAAGCAAAAGCTATTCTTAAAAAAATCCCAGCATATTAGAGCTAGTTAGTGAGGGGTCCCGAGTAATCAAGTTGCTGTCTTAACTGAAACCAGTACATATGCAAGTCAGATCACAAGACTGTTGCCGAGTTCTCTTTCCAGCTCTACCAATGACTCCATGAAAGGCTGGGATGAGCAACATGCCCTGGGCTGTATCCTCCATTTTACAAGTGGGAAGAAAAATCTATTCCCCAGGAGGCTTTGAAGCTAAAATAGGGTTTGCATAACAGTTTTGAGGTAAAAGATACTGAGGAAAAACACAGGAAGTCTTTTATCAACTACATCCACAACTGCTGGTGAAAGAAAGGGACGCAGTCAAATCTCCAGCCAGGCAAATCTCCATCCAAATGCCAGATCAGCCAAAGGAAGAAGTGGAGAATAAAAAGCACATGCTAGATGTTTTTGTCCCAGTAATAAAACATTTACTAGAGCAAGCAAAAAGTAAATGCACAGCTGATAAAGAAAACATCACAATGTCACAAAAACCTGACAGTTTCTGATACTTCTTTCAGTAGAAACAAGACAGAGGTGGGTGCTGACATGTTTCAACAAAAGAGTTCTTCCTTACCTTTATGGTGCAAAAAAAAAAAAAAAAGTTAAAAAACAGGTAACGCACACAATGAGTTAAAAATGGTCAAGCCAGATTTTACAGTTTTAACTACATGTGTCCAATATGGGGCAGTATTTGAGCTTTTCCACTTCATCGATCGCTTTTCAGGTTCTCCCTAAAGGCTTCTGAGCAGCAGGTCCCTGAATTTCTGAACGAAGCCTCTTCATTTAGCTACGCTTCATGGGGCGCACCACCCTTCGACTGTTGTGGTGTATCTACATTTTTTTCCCTTTTTTGTTTTTAATTTGAAGAAAGCACTCAACCCTCTCATAACAGAGGGCATGTAGGCACAGCAGAGACAAGTTTGCTATGCAGGCTTCCACCAAAATGAAGGTTATTAAGAAAGAAAAAGCTCTTTAAAAGACAAAAAAATACCTGGGCAATGGGATTGGGATTGATGTACTGACCACAAACAAGCCAGGGACTCCACCCTACACTACATGTGAATTTGTGGTTAGCTGGGCTGGAGAAGGATCCCTTGAACGGCTTCATAAAAAATTAAAAAAAAAACCAAAGAGGAAAGGAAGGTCAACTTGCTTCATCCCACCTTCAGCAACGCAACTCGATACATTCTTAGTTGATGGGGAGACATGTAAGGGCCAATCTGGAGGCCAAATTATTTGGGGATAAGAGAATATGTGAAAAGAAGAGACTGGGGAAGAACTCACCATACTGAACAAACTGCTGAAAGATTAATGTTTAACAGGTGGGTCCTGAGCATCTCTAGATGGACTGGTTTTTTAAATGTGAACGCTGGTTAAGAAAAGACTGCTTTATACTTCTATGGACAACAGTTTCTTAACGTTCCAAGGACGTGAAACAACTTCTTTCTTGTCAAGAAGATCTGTTTAAATCCAGCAGAGTCACTTGAGCACTGAATGTTTAAAAGCAGAACCCAGGGAGCTTTATCAAAATTATTTCTTTTTGACTAAGCATTGCGTGTACACATCATTATAGTGAATCTGTCCGCAGATGTACCAGCCCAGACTTGCATGGGGAGTTTTCATGGTTTCCTTCTCCTCCCCCAGCTGCTCAGCAACCAGTTACCAAAACCCCCAAGAAATCCTCTGGAAAAAGACAACACTACCTGCAGAGATCCCAGGTTGTGAAACACCAGCTTTCAACTGTCCCACCGGCTCTTCTTACGTTTTGGGGGCTCTGGGACAGCAAAACCATCTGTCTTGTTGTCTCGGCTGTTGGCATCCTTCCTGTTCTCACCATTCCTGTTCTCGTTGTTCCTACCTTCATTGCTATTCCTGCTATCACCATTATTGCGATTGCCACTGCCCACATCAGCGAAGTGCCGGCTTTCACTGTGGCGATGGTTGTCGCCGTGTCGGCCCTCTCCATGGCGGTAAGCGTCACTGTGGCGACCTCCTCCTTCTCCATGGCGTTGCACATCATTGTAGCGACCACCACCCTCTCCACGGCGTGGGACCTCATTGTGGCGACTGTTCCGGTTGTCGTTGTATCGTTCTCTGACAATGCCGCCAACACTGCCGCCACCAACACCACCACTGCCACCGCCACCAACACCGCTGCTGCCACCACCACCGCCACCACCAGCAGCAGCACCAGTGCTGCTGCTGCCGCCGATGCCTTCTCGATTGTTGGTGCTGGCATTTGTGTTGTTGAAGCCCTGTACTCCGACACTCGGAAAGGTGGGAACACTACTCAAATGCCCCGTGTTGGCGAAACCTGGAACACCCTTTGCTGCTACAGCGGCTGCAATTGGGCTGTCAGGATTTGCAGCATTTTGCTGTGCTGAACTCGTCGGTACTGAGTTCAGGCTCCCAGCGCTGGTCCAGCCACTAGCACCAGCAGCGGAGCTTCCAGTCTTTTGATTATTTAAGCTTGCAGCAACAAAGTGGCTCTTATACTGGGACTGCCGGAAAGAGACAGAAAGAAAAAAAGAGAGCATGTTTGCCTCTACACTGCACCACAAAACATGCAGTCATCATGCATATACAAGCCTGTCTTGAAATCTGGGGAGCCCATAGGAAAAAGAGTTCCTATAAAAAGTCAGTCGTGGAGTGATTACATTCCTGCAGTGCTTACAAACACAGAATTAGTACTGGACATCTGCTACCAGACCACAGAAACAAGGGAACTCCTATATAGTGGGGTTAATTTTTACACTGAAGAGAAAGGGTTTCTCTGTTCCCCATTTCTTTTGATTGCAATTACACTATTGCTGCTAAGCAACCTAAATAGGATCAAGCCTAGGAGCAGAATCCAAAAGGTAAAGAGAGCAAAGAGGCAGCAGAAAACAAAAGTTTGGCAAATTAACTTTGTGCAAGCATGTTCAGTCCAGCCTGCATACTAATTCTCCCACTTTGGACTGCAATGCTGAGTGCGTGCTCCAAGTGGATGAGACATGGCCACAACTACCAAACTCAACTTCCCTGAAGTCAACAGGGTTTCTGCATTTTCAGGGGCGGGGAAAAAAAAAAAAAAAAAAAAAAGTCTTGAATCATCAGTAGTAAAATTTTTCCGTGTTACATCCTTTCCTCTTGAGTTAGAACTTGGAGTACAAGTGATCGAACCAACCTGAAAAGCTGCTTTCATTGCCGTAAGTCTGTCTCCCATTGCCCCAGTGGATGGCTTGTATGCCTCATAGTTACTCATCACACTGTTGTTGCTTCCACGGTCCTACGCAAAAAGACAAAGGACAACTGCAGAGATTTATCCAACACAGACACTTCCAATTCAACTGTTCTCTGAATCTATCTTGACCCTGCACTCAGGAAATACATCTAAAAAGGATGATGAACTTCTGGAGAGCACTGAGCAGCAGAACAGTTTGCCCCATGACCTTGAGGATGACAGAAAAGTAAAGATGCAGTAAGGTTTAATGACTCATGAGTCAATAGCATAACCGCATTTCCTAGCTCCTTACAGTACAAGCAAAAGCAAAATGCAATCAAATGGGAGATTTTCACAGAGGTCATAGCCGAGACAAAAGTGTGAACAAGACTTCAGCTGTGACTTTTGGAAAGATGCTGAACATGATGTGCTTTCAACATGTCTACAGCTAAACTCTGTCCCCATACACGTTGGCAATGAGCTATTTTCCTAGCATGGACACACCTTAGGAAGTGTTCCCAATGCTGCAAGATTTTTTGCTGCCAAGAATTAGCCTGGAAATGACTTTTCGAATAATTTATTAGCATTTATTTTGCATGGACGGTCTATTTCGGGAAGAAACTCCAAACCTTCTGGTTCACTCTGGCCCTAAAGCAGGCAGCTCTTGACAAGAGGATAACAGCACAGGACAGTTTCACTTGAGATGTTTCCGATACTAACGCTGAAAGATTGTGAGCCATGAAAACCTTTGGATGCAGAGGCCATACTCCAGTACTGAGAAGATTTTTCAAATTAAAGAGTAGTCAATACTAAGTTTAAAAGTTCCAAGAATCTGTAAATAACTTCTACTTACAGAATTTTCTGATCCCAGACCAGGACGTTCACGGTAGCCTAAGCCACCACCACCAATATTCAGCTTCTTGCCTTTTCCTCCTTTGAAACGTGACTTACGGAACCAGGGATTCTGTACAAAGGAAGGACAACTGCTTCTCAACACAGGGAATAAGAAGCTTCATAAATGCACGTAATGAGGCTCAGAAAAGAAGGATTTTGAGCATTTCAAAAGAAAAATATGCACTGTTTCCCATTCAACAATAGAGCTGTTGCAAGGGGATGGGACATGACAGACTATAGCGCTTTGAAACTAAGCTGTAGGCAGTTCGGTCATGTGGGTCTGAAGCTTTTTGTTACAAATGCTTTTTATGAAAACTAATTTTTTGTCCTGAACTTTCATCCATGTTAAAGTTTTGGGGGTTTGCATTCTAATAAACCCAGGAATAAATGCCATCTCTAATGCCATTCACTTGGGAGCTCTGCACTTGCTCATACTTGGGTTTTATGGATTTAGCCCACTGGCCCGCTAAGGAGAAATGAGGTTCTGTCACAGAAAAACTTCCTGCAAGAAGCAGTGGTCTGGAAAGGGCAGTCCAACCAGACCTCCTGTTACCAAGTTTTTAAATAATGGTTGGCTGCACCTCTTCTTATGCCCTATAGTTTCTTCAAACCTGAAGAAGCTAGTAAGCCAAGCCACTTAGCTTCTATACTGTCCTCCCAAAGGCAGCCTGTGAAGGTCTGCCTCACAATTTCTGTCCCTTCCGAAAATGCTCCCTCTGTACCTCAAAAAAAAATACTTACTTCTAGCAGCTAGCGCCCAATCTGCTTGGCAATGAAGCCGCAAGCATGCTAATCCATCTCTGAATTTGGGGATTACCAAAAAGCCTTTGCTCTCTTGCAGCTACACAGGCAGCAAAGAACTTAAAGAGCTGACGAGTACAGCGGTGCAAGTACAATTGCTTCAGCTGCCCGTCATACCTATATATAGCAACCTGCCATACAGCACTGCCAAGCAGGTATAATGATCAAGCAATAACCATCTCACAGAGTGAATGTCCCTGTAATTATTTTCTAGTTTAGCCTTCAACTAAGCTCCATTTCCCAGGTGCCTGCCACAAACGCGTATCAAAAATCTGATTGTAATGAGATACTGGAGCTGGAGTGCTCTGCTGGCATCAGCCAGATTACAGCTCCTAACTTCCTAGGCAGTGCCTGACCCCAAAATAGACTACATACTGCATTCCAAAATCTATGTCTTCATGGATTCTTTCACAGGCCATTAAAAACACTAGAAAGCCTGCTTAAAAACAGTATAGGTTGCCAAAAGGTCACTGCGAACACATGATGGTGCCAGAAACAAGTCCCTGAGCTCCTGATTTTGTGCTAATCGTGGAAGGAAACCTTCCTCTACTCAAGGAGTTTTCCTTGTTCATACCTGCATTGCTAGATCCAACAGCTCTTTGGAAACATGTTGATTAGCGCCTTCCAGATTTCTGACAAGATCACCAGCAAAGTTACTGTCTTTGGGAGTCAGCAGAGTGTAGGCGACTCCCTTCTCGCCTGCTCTGCCAGTACGACCAATTCTATGGGTGTGTGTATCTATGTCCCGAGCCACATCATAATTGATGACAGTCTTAATGGAAGGAATATCTAACCCACGAGCTGTAATAAAGAACAATATAGCGGTAAGTGCGATTATCCTAAACGAACTCAAAGCAATCCCATTCATACCAGCTTATCGCTTCACTGTGCTCCAGCATACAAAAGGAGTTTCCACAGGAACACATCCCAGTTAAGACACCCTCCATAGGCTAAAACTCTTTGTTATCTTAAATGTAGCAATATCTTCTCCAAGAATAGTGTAAGTTACACCGATCCCCAAGTTCACTGGATTGGAAATGGAAGAGATCTCCTTAAATGATTGCTATTCCAAGGAAGAGAGAGCGCTTTATTAAAGGACACTGAAATTCACTTTGTTCAGCTGAACATCTGAGTACAAAAGCTGTTCTAGAGAAGGCTTCAAGTGTGTCCATTTCTTCTTCATTTAAGCATGCATAATGTGTCAGCTGATTAACAAACAGCAATTACTTCCTTAAGAAACAGCTTATTTTCTTTCTGTATATGAAAAAATATCTGTCACACTGCAACTTAAACACCATTAGAAGACTGTAAAAATAAATCCCCTTGCTAACACCGTGTAGTTCCAGAAAACCACCTGGAACACAGTGCCCAGCAGGTGTAGAAGCCAACCTTGTTGCCTTCCACTGACATGTGTTAGCCTTTCTGCTGAGATCCACAACTTGTATGAGCTGCCGTTTCTTACAACGCCACATACCTGCCACATCAGTAGCTACCAGTATCGGGATCCCTTTTTTCTTAAATTCTGAAATTACTTTATTCCTCTCACTCTGGTCCATGTCACCATGAAGCAGCCCCAGATTATGATCCTCCTGCTTGAGGTTATTAGCCAGCTCTTCTGCATTTGCCTTCTTGGTGACAAACAGGAGAACGCTCCCAGAAGATGTGAACTCCACGAGGCGTCGAGTCAGCCAGTTCCATTTGCTAGGGCCAGAGGGGAAAATCTCCACAATTTGAGTAACATCTTCATTTGCCTAAGGGGAGAAATAAGACAAGCAATAACGCAGGATAGAAAGGACAGTACGGCAAACACACACAGATGGCAGAATAAAACCAGGAATTTAAAAAGTGTGAGAATAAAAAGTGGAGAAGCAGGGGACCAAAATTCTCCTTTAAAAGAGGTTTCAGCTCTTGTCTAACTGCTGACCACTTCATTTTCACAGTGCAGAAAAGGCAGGGATTAAATGAGCTACTCTCTCCTAAACCTGAGAGAGGCACAGTGCAGTCTTTGACATGATGCAGTTTATCACCGTACTGATCTAAAGACAGGTACTTGCAATTTAGATGCTCTTGTCACAGATGCTATTAACATCTAAAATAGACTGTGCAAGAGCAGGGTCTGAGATGGAGAGGATGTTCATCAGTAAAAGTTATTCATATGCAGATCAGAGAAAGTACCCCTGTGAGCTGTGACGTGTCCTCGGAGTCAGGAAGAGCAGAGGTATAAACAGACTCCCTATACACTCCGTATTGCAAGTAATAAAAGTGCAGTGGAGCACACAGCACTATCTGGAAGTTTCTCCAAAAGATTTAGTTTTTACACATTTAAATATTAATGATTTCAAGGATGATGCTGTCATAATAGAGTGGTAATTTAGATCAAAGAAAAGAAACCATGTGATTGAGCTAGGAAAGCTGCTTCTTTTCTTAAGCAATGTTTAGGAAAAACATTTTTCCACAAAGAATGGCCTTCGGGTAGCCATTGATTTTTTGTTATAAAGGGATACCTCACATTTGTGATTGAAAAAAAATAAAAAAATGCAGAGAACTGGTTAAAAGAAGAATATACTGAAGGCATCTTGTGCAACTTCTCAACAGTTTTCATATATTATAAGCAAAGTCTCTTCACAGCAAGTGTAATCTGCCCACTTCATTGCCTTATTACCAAATCCCTAGTCTGCTAATAGTTCAGCTGCTGCTGTCAAGGAAGTATAGAATCAACATTCCCACATAAACCAGCTGAAAGACATTACAGTCTACGTCTCAAATCCTTCATTGCAAAACCTGTATTTTATTTATAGTTTTGAGACAAAACAAAAGGACATACCCATTGATTCAGCCTAATTAAAAAAAAAAAAAAAAACCAATCACTACATTAATGTTGTTTCACTCCTTGATGAAACCTCCCATCGCTACAAGAACAATATTCGCTGGCAGAAAGAAAGCTCAATCAAATTAAAAAAAAACAAAACAAAACCAAAACCTTACTATTTTTTGTTAAGCACAAAGTATTTACTCTTAAATATAAATGGTAACTACTGCAGTTTAACATAAATTTCAGACAACAGAAACAGAATGGTTCATTTCTCCGACTGTCTCAGAAGTAATGTGGAATTACCTCTCCAATGTCTCCCTGCACAACTCGAATTGGGTCGATCAGAATATCTCGAGCCAACTTCTCAATCTTCTTACGGAAAGTGGCACTGAACAAGAGGGCTAAAAGAAAAATGGTATTTGAACTCCTTGAAAAATACATTTTCTTTAACACTGCACAGATCTTGTGAATGAGGACCTGTGCAACTGTACTAGATGTCAGTGATCTGAAGCTACAGTGTTTTACCAGTTCTAATGAAAAGTATCAATCACACTCTTAGAATACCTCAAAGTGGAAACACATTTCATGGCATCTGAAACAAGATGTGGATAGTAACTGGCACCGCTGTGAACGTTCCTTCATGGCAGCTTAGAACACAGGATCAAAAAGCATACTAATATTAATTCAGCTAATCATCTTTTCCCTGAGTAAGGTCTGTGGAGGGATTACAGACTGATGAACAAGTATGGGTATTTAACCACACTCACAAGTGCTCCCTTCCAGCAGCCCACACTGAGAATTAAAACCAGCGGACTCTCACGAAAGTCTCACTGTGTGGCTGCGTCAAGAACAGGAAATCCAAGCTCCGTTCCAAATTCTTAACTGGTAGCCCACCATATAGCCTTCTTCACTCTCCAGAGTTTAGTTTGAAACATGCTTATACTTACTCTGTCTGTCAGGACGTACGTGGCTTGCAATTGATCTGACCTGATATTCTGGAACGGAGAGGGAAAGTGTTCTAATCAACATTGTACACCCATTATTTAGTAGAATAACTCAAAATGCAACTTCATTGCTTTATTTAACCAATAACCATAGAATGAATGAGTGCCTCTCACTCAATACTTAATGTTATACTGTGACTTCCAGGTGCTTTTTGCTGCACAATGGAAGTGCATTTGCTGTACGAAGAAACTTTTGGAAGTTCCTTCAGCAAAATGTTCCACAAACAAAGATCCTAGCTGAGTCTGTGCATACGCTGTACGTCTTACAAGTGTCTCCCTCCGTTTGCAGTATTATAGTACTGTCAAATCTTTGCTGCGTCCCATGATGCTTGAGCACATATTCAAAATCATCCAGATCTGAATGACCAAACCTCTTCCAATAAAGTAGAAAGTTCTTTTAACACCACTAGTTTGTACACACAGAACCAAAGCAACAGAAGTTCTGAGCTTCTTTGCCCAGAAGTTATTCAGCAACTCCAAGATAAAAATCAGGGTTTTTGGACTTCAACATCAGCAGTACTTCGCTGAACTCTTTATAGCAACAGATATTAGACCTTGAAATACAACTTTTGTCTATAAATTATTTTCTTAATGTATTTTCAAGTATATGAAGCTACAGGGGTTATAAACAGTCCTACTAAGCTGGGAACTAGTCACCACTGTTTTCCAAACAGTGATCTTTGTTCATTACATACCAAAACCCATATCAAACATTCTGTCAGCTTCGTCAAACACAAGGTAAGTGACTCTCTGAAGGTTTGTGGCTTTCTTTTTCACATGATCAATTAAACGACCCTATTAAAAAAAAAAAAAACACAACAAGTTTTAAAAACATGTTTTAAAAAATGTTAATATACGCAATCTTCAAGCACTTAACTGCTTTTTATCCTCACCTACCAGAGACAGAACAGAAAATACCTCAAGGCTTCACTCTGGAAGTAAGTGTCAGTATTCAAGTCACAGAAACAGATTCCTAAAACTCTCATCAACTATACCCGACAAGCTGAATTTTAGGACTGGATTTTCAAGATTGACAGTGCTGAGATCCTAAAATTCCCTTGTCTTCATTACAATTAAATTTTAATTGTGAGCTGGCTATTTAATCTTATAATATTTCATGCAGGAGTTCTTTGTTTTCTTGCCTAGTACCCCAATAAATAGCCACAATAAACCTTCCTCCAACCAGTTTTGCCCAAGTTCGTAACTACTTTTTGCAATAAGCAAAGTCAGCTGACAGCGGTGCTCATTTAAACCACTGGTTCAGCATCAACATCCATTCTGATTCAATGTTTCAACCCTTCAGTATTACTGCCACAGGCTCTACACCGATTCAGTAAGATGGCACGCAAGTTCACGACATTCTGGGAATTTTCTTCACGAAGTTAAGGCTCAGCAATCAGAAGCTGGTATTGCACACAACTGACACTGATTCAAGCAGATCTTGCTTGCTACTCTGTCTTCTATTGGAAATCACATCGAATCTCTTTCAATTTCTCTTGGGACACAAATAATCCCAGCATGATTTCCTCTCCACATCTGATAACCTGTGAAGAACCTAGATTTCAGTGATCAGAGAACAAATTCTGCATCACCAATGGCATTAAAAATCTGTCTCAGCTTCAGTTAAGCAACAAAAATTGTACTGCATACAGGTACTTACTGGTGTGCAGACAACTATCTCTGCCCCCTCCTGGAGGGCTTTGGCTTGCTCCCACATGCTTCCTCCTCCATACACAGCTACAGAGCGCAGATTATACGCCTTACCAAAGCGCTTGCATTCAGAATGGATCTGAGAATTTTAAACAAAGCACATCACAGCTCATGTTAGACAGATCTGAGAAAATATACCTACCTTGGAAATACAGTCCAGCTCCCAAAATCCACTTTTCAGCTAATAACTTAATGAAATTATTCAGAAATCCTCAGGGCTGAATACTTCAATACTTGTGGATAATTTCCAATAATTTGAGAAACCTGTTTAGGCATCCAACCATAATTTAACCTGCAGGCTCTATTCTTTTACACATACAATTTGTGGCAATACATCCACAGTATTCTTAATACTTAGAAATAATATGGGAGCACTGTGCAAAAATTTACAATTTCAGATTTGTCATGATCCTTCAACAAAAAGAGGTGTAAGAGAGAATTGTGAACTTAAATTAGAGACATGCTACTAATGCACAGAGTAGTTTTTTCAACTAGTTTACTGAGGTTCTTTGATATTTCTGCCCAGAATTTTGTCATCTTCTGTAAGAACACTATAGGGCACATATATGCTTACTATACACCTACCTGTTGGCAAAGCTCTCTGGTTGGGCATACAATCACTGCAATGGGACCATCCCCTGGTTCAAGCTCCTTTTGATCCATGATGTGAATCAACATTGGCCAGATGAAGGCTGCTGTTTTTCCACTTCCAGTCTTAGCTATCCCAATCATATCTCTGCCACTTAGTGCAACTGGAACACCCTAAAAATAAGGAGATTCTAAACCCATATTATGCCTACCTTAGCATACTCTTGTGCTAGATATAACATGAAAACTCGAATAACAAGAGAAAAGCACATTACAGAGGACTCATATCAACCTACATCAATGCTTACACAGTTTTATTGCCAAGTTCAGATCTGAATTGGTTTGTTTTAAGGGCTGGAAGCAATTATCATGTTATGACTGTTGGCGTCCTATATAAAATAAATGTTTGGGCACAGTACAACGTCCCAAGGATATATTTACATGTCCACAAATGCATCTTGTCCAGCTGTAAGAACGCTAAAAACAAATTCTATAAGCCTATTCTTTCTGTAAGCATTGTGAGTGCTAAAGTCCTCAGTTCATCCCTGCTGTTACTATAAGGACCTCTCAACCACAGGTTTTTACAAATACTATGGACTAAGGTCCTAATACACATCCCTTGGACACAGCACCATGTAGTTTTTTATACTTCAAGAAAAGCATCTGAAGTGGTGTGGTTATAATCGCATTAATGATAACCATAATTACTTACGGCAATCAATCTACATATGCAATAGAATCCCTTTTGCATGCATGGCTCTCCAAGGAATGACCAGTTAAATGGTCCAGTTCATAGGGCATTTATTCTAACTGCCAAAAGAAACTAAAAAAATGCCTTGTTGCATACCTCTTCTAGTTACAAGACATTCAAATATAAGCTGTTTAAAGGAATAAGGTTGTCAACGTATGGCTCTTTACTCAGCTACTGGTATGGTTATTTTTAACACAACTTCTAAAAAAAATACATTAAAAATCTTTCATACATTTCTATAAGCAAGAGATGCCACTTGCATGTTCTTCAGTCTTCACCGAGACACAAATGAAGAAAAGAATATGGATATATTTACAGTGGTCATTTAACAAGAAAAAACATGGGTAAACTTCTATATAAAAAATATCAAAGCCATTTTCCTGGAAAAATACAAATTATTCTTCTCCGTGACAGCTCTATATAGGAAACTAGAACTGCATACATCCTCAGATGCACTAGGGACCTTCACATGTGTTCTATTGATTCGGTTTAGATATTAGAGAAGCAAAAACACTCACCTGACATTGTATAGGGGTGGGCTGAGTATACTCAGATTTCCTAATTTGATGCATAAGTTGCTCATCAAACCCAAAATGAGCAAAACTACTGCCAGGCCTCGGAGGAGCAGCACCGGAGACCTTAGAAGTAGAAACATATCTTTGTTTGTGAACAGCGAGAGAAAAACAAAGAGCAATCTGTACAAAAATGAAAGAAAGTGTCTCTCTACCTCTGAAAACAGCTTTTTATTTTTTTAATAGACCTAAGTTTAACTAGGTGCAAATTCCAGACGTGTTGTGTAAACAGGACTTTCCGGTATAAAAATTTAGATAAACTGTCAATCAACATAAGCTACTAAGCATCACATCTACCTCCCTGTATAACTGGTCTCCTTCCCCAAATAATCCCCTTCATAAAAAGGCACCACACTACCATGTCACGAATAGCAAAGAAATAATTCTTGCATATAGTATTTCCAGTTTCAATTCCTAGTTCTTTAGTCCAAGTGCAACCACGCAACTGGCAATCTTGGGTGCCCACTTTGACAAGTCCAGAGAAGACTTTCAAGAACTGCTGAGGAAAACCAAGCTCCCTTAAATTAAAGTCACTGAAGGTATCTGAGAGGCCTGGTATTCAAAAGCTGGAGTTTCCTGTGAAAATCTTCATTAAAACTGCTAAGACAGTCAAAAAAAACCCATGAGTAAGAAGATCCTAGGAGGATAGTTTTGTGACCAGCTTACCCGGAGATTTAGCTTATGACGTAACTCCACCACTTGCTGCGGGGTGAGACTGGTGATCTCCTCATGCTCATCATAGAAATTTTTCTCAAACGGTGGATATTCGATCTGCAAGGGTAATTACTCGGTTAGTCCAGGACTCAAGATTTTCTCTCTGTACACTTAGTTTTGGAGGGGAAGGGTCCTTTTAAGAAAAAGTTCTTAATTATTTGCAAGAACATTAGTTTAATATGAAGTCATTTGAAGCATCTTTAGTATCTCAAGTGGCACAGCACTGAAATATTACCTGCCAACACTGATGTACGGGGACAGAACCATATTTCAATCTTCTTCTTAACACCTGCTTTCTAGAATGCCTCAGACAGAACAGAATGGAATAAACTTCCTACCTCTGAATGGTCAATAGGTGGAAGAGGATCAATGATTTTTTTGGATGGTACAATTGGATTCCCATCACTATCATACTCCAGATTATCCTCTTCCTCTTCTTGGACCACACCAGCAGTGGGGTTTTCAGCCATGTAGCGAAAATAAGCTTCCTGCAGCAAAACATATCAGTAAAATCACATACAATAGGATGCAAAAATACTACTACATTTGTTTAAATTGTGTATATGCTAGATGGCTGTTTGCTTTCATACCCA